TTAAAGGTCCAGGATAGGTTGCAGGCCTTCATAGCTCGACCAGGGGATTACGCTAAGAGAGGAAGAAATCTTGCCGCAACTCCAGAATTTCTTACCGGGCTCATTTCGGATCATGGTGATTCGCAATGTCATGAAAGAAATGAATATTGTCGCGGTACGAGGGCTCTTGACGAGCTGCCTCGGCCAGCTTCTGGTATTCCACAGCCTAGGCCTCTGCCTACACAATGGTGCCCATAACGAAGGGTATGTAGTGGAGCTTCTGTAAGAGCCCTACCTGTAATGGAGTGTGAGGGATGCTGCTGGCTTCTTATAAAAATATCAAAAGATCGGAAGCGCTGGTAAAGGTGAAACACGCTGTAGCGGTGAACGACATGCCTATTGAAGCTATTGCAGATAGTGTTGGTCTTTGACACGAATCCATAGTTATGAGACATTTGTACTAGACAGTGACTCGGAGTGTGGATTTACTAGTGCTCGAGGTTTTTCGAATTTTCTTGGATAACTACTTACTGCAGCACTTATATCCACCTCGTGGATTAAAGCCTCGAGAATGCTCTACCATTTGTTAGTCATAAATGTTACCTATGGATTCTTCAGAAAAAAAGAAAATTTGAGAAAGAGTGTCGCAGGACTTTCTTGCCCAACCTAATATTTACAAATGATAGTGCAATGTGGGGAGAAGATTTCTTGATCGACATCGTTCTTCCTTACTTGCGGACTTTTGGAGCGTTTTGAGCCTGGACGAATGTTTTAGGGAGGGAAGGCACTGCAACTGGTTGAACACTATCGTATGATATACCATAGTAGTTGAGACCCTCGTTTGGTCATGACATTCAAATTCAGTGAGTTCACATCGAGTATGCTGCAGCTGCTTACTCCTATGTTTTCTTTCAATACAATGAGGTCACCCACATGCACTGTCCGGAGATCAAATACGGACCCAGATTCTGCCCAGATCAAGAAACTCCATCTATCCGAGGTGAGCTAATTGGCACCAGGCTCGTTCAGAAGGATAAAAACATCTATTTGTACACTGGCTGGCCTCTGCGGTACATTTATTGGACTGAACCTAATTCAAATGCCATTAAGATTTCGAATGAAAATAGAATGCGTGGCGCACCCCAAAAATGGACTGATCAACGCCGACTTTTCCAAGGTTTGCCCCATTCAATAATGAGTATATCGGGCCACGTAATATTAGATTAGATTAGATTTTCCTCTGTTTTACTTTTTTATTTTTCTCAATTTGAACAACAAATAGGTTGAAGCAGCGCGCCATTTTACCAAAACGTATGAATAAATTTCGAAGTAAGGCCTGATTACACCAAGTTTTTCCTCGATTTCATTTGGAAGCGTATTTTTGAGCAGACGGAAGGTAAACTTAAAAAACGCCAGCTCCAAAGTCCGAAGAAGAAAGAACGATGAGATCAAACATCTTCTCACTTCACTTCATTTAGCACATAGAAAGGGATTTGTCTGGTCAAAGAACGCCTCTTACACATAGTTGTCCGTAGTACGAACCGGCCCCACCAATGACCCCATCCAAGTAGGGCGGGGAAGATGGGGGAGAAGGAGGTCATAGGTGCACGGCGAATGTTGGTCCACATGCTTTTTTATCTTTAATTCATAAGTCAGCCAGCAAATGAAATCCAAGGCATAAAATAACTAGCAACTTCAACTGACATAGTACTAACTAGCGGGAAACTAGAATAACGCAAAAAGATGTTTACATTGCTTCTGGTTGCTTGTTGCGCTTTTGGCATTTCCATTTTTTCATTCCTTTCAGTAGACATCGAATGATTGTTGTTTTCGTCGGGCGCATTTTCTAATGCACATGCACTTTGCTAATCACAGGCGCCCTACGATTTTGAATGTAGGTGGAATGCGCGGCGCACAAAAAACGGCGAACTGATCAACGCGATTGCTTTGTCTGGTATTCAAAGTGTGGAACGGGTTAGAAAGCTGGCTAAGGTTTCGGACGCTTATAGTATATCAGTGATCGCTTTGGCCCTTATATGTTATTAGATTGTTGCTAATAGTCATGAAGTGGCTCCCCGCATCACATTTGTGGTCACCTTGCAGCAACGCGGATTGAGGAAGCCAAATGGGTTGGCTCTTTTTTCTCAAAAAAATATCGTGGTTTGGCTTGTTATTTCAACGATTTCCTCCCCTAATCTTTGTCGGCTATGATAATTGATGGGCGAGGGTGGTATGGCGGCAAGTGGCACCACTTGTCATGCGCTCCGTTCATGGGTCAAATTCAAGATCGAATCAGGCCTAGGTCTAGCAAGCCTTTCATTCCTCGGTGGTTGATAGCAAGTCTTAGCGAAATAAAACACTTTGAGTTCTAGATCGACTAGCCTCCACAGTCATTGCATATACCACATCACATTTAAATGCTACCTCGATTTCGAATAGAATTAGGATGCATGGCGCTTCTAAAAAGCGATAATGCCGAATGCTTGATTTCTATCCTTTATTTGCGCTGGTGATAGAGCACGAGCTCTTATTCATGATTGGAAGCAGTATCCGCAGAAATCTTGGAATTCGATATTCCAAAACGCCGTTTGACTTTATCATAGGAGGATGATATTATTCTTATAGGGACCAAAACTATACATTTGAGTCTCAGAACCTTGGAAGCATCTTTTTGCACGGTTTGCCGGAAAATTAACAGAAGAAACTCTCAGTCTGCGTTCAGCGCGATGAGTCATGCGCATTACCGTGATGGCAGTGGCACATTCCTGGTGTACTGTATAAGAACTAACAAAATAAAAACTTGATGATCAAATGAAGATGACGTTAATAGCACAAAGCAGTCGAAAGTATAGATGAGAGAAAATCAAAATCCTGAAGAATCGATTGGTTTTCAAACTTCTAGCTAGACAAAGTCAATGTGCTAATAAGGTGCAGTATGTGTTCAGACAGCGATCCATATTCAAAATTAGTGGCGGAGTGTACAGGACCCATCGAAGTTCGGAGGTTACAGTAACCCATCAAGCTAAAGGTTAGAGTAACCCACCGAGCCAAAGGTTACAGTAATCACCGAGCCTGTAGCATTCAGTGGCTTTATTGTTTTTCACTTCTCACCCGTACTCCTGTATTTTCCACTTTTGTCTGTGCATCTTAATTTTCTGAAAAATACATTTACTAGGCAGCACATCTATGTAGAGCTTCTGCTGAAACTGTTTGAGCAGATACTTGAAATTCTCTGTCGTATTTTGAACTTTCAGAACTTCCACATCCAGCAAGCGTGTTTTGTCACCATTGGTCGATGATCCCAGTATCAGCTCATTTTAGCTAGCTTATGCAAACATTATACGAAGTTTTAGTTTTGGCTCCCCCACTTTCTTCACGATTTGGGGTGCGGCCGCGGCAAACCCGGCCGAGTATGCGCCATCAGCTTACCTGAGTATTCGACGTTACATTACGGCATCAGCTTGCCTGAGTATTCGACGTTACATTGCGATACGTAATGTAACGTCGAATACTCAGGTAAGCTGATGGCGCATACTCGGCCGGGTTTGCCGCGGCCGCGCCCCAAATCGTGAAGAAAGTGGGGGAGCTTTATTAGGCTCCGTAGACTCAATAATACCTCAAAATATGAAATCGGTAGGAAAAACTTGTGTAATCGGCCTTACATCGAATTGTTATTATATCGTTTTGTAAAAAGGCGCGCGCTTAAACCTATTGTTGTATCAATGAGAAAATAAAATAGTAAAACAGAGGAAAATTAATCTAATCTAAGTTGATTACGTGCGCAAATACTATTATTGAATGGGCAAACTTTGAAAGTCGCGGTGATCAGTCCATTTTTGGGGTGTCGCACGCATTCTTATTTTCATTCGAAATCCGAAATGTGCATTGTGAATAGATAGTGAGTTCAAGACAATGACCGCAAGAAGCCAGACACGTTACAAATAGATGTTTTTATCCTTCTGAACGAGCCTGGTGCCAATTAGCTCACCTCGGATAGATGGAGTTTCTTGGTCTGGGCAGAACCTAGGTCCGTATTTGATTGCATGTGGGTAGTACTCATTTATTTAAGGAAAAATCGGGAGTAAGCAGCTGCAGCAGCTTAAGCATGATCGATGTGAACTCATGAATTTGAATGTCACTGAGCAAAGAGGGTTCTCACTACTATTTTGCTTTAGAATAGTAAGTACCAAAGTGAGAGTATACGATAGGGTTCAACAATGCAGTGCTCCCTAAACGTAGAATTCGTCTATTCTCAAAACGCTCCAAAGTCCGAAGAAGGAAGAACGATGAGATCAAACATCTACTCACTTCACTTCATTTAGCACATAGAAAGAGATTTGTCTGGTCAAAGAACGCCTCCTTACACATAGTTGTCCGTTGTACGAACCGCATGAATCGACGTTTTCGTACCATAATAGCATGGGAGGGGGGTGCGAGGAGGTCATAGCTGCACGGCGAACCAATGTTGAGTCTACATCTAATGCTTTTTATCTTTAATTCATAAGTCAGCCAGCAAATGAAATCCAAGGCATAAAATAACTAGCAACTTCAACTGACATAAGTAGTAACTTAGGAAAACTAAATAACGCAAAAAGAATGTTTCATTTGCTTTTGATTTGTTTATTGACGCTTTTGCTTTCCATTTTTTCATTCCTCGTAGACATCGAATGAATTTTGTTCTTCTTCTGGCGATTTCTAATGCACATGCACTTTCTAATCTCTGCTCAGCCGCCAGATTGATTCGCCTTTTACCTATTGTGAAGTCGTTATCGACAGTTGTGTGTCTTTTTGTTTCTGTCTAGATTTTTTCCGCCACGAAGTGTACTTTTCTATCCGGCACCAAGCTATTTGTGATACAACTTTGATCAAGTTTGAGTAGATGTTTTTACTTTCTCTGCTCTTTATCGACCTAAGTACTCTATAACATTTTTTTTGCTATTTTTGTATCAATTCCTTATTTTTTGGAATGGTTCCCTTATTTTCACTTTGTGAAGATTATTCAAACATTCTCACTTTAAGCCATGCCTCGAATTGAGTACGAGCCAAAACTCGACTTCAAGGACGTCCTTCTTCGACCAAAACGTTCCACTTTGAAAAGTCGGGCTGATGTGGACCTTGTCAGAGAGTTGGTAACAATTGTTTTTCAAAATACTTTTACCAACCTATATGTTACCATTCGATTCTGGTTATGAAGGCTCTGGTGCAAATCTGGAATTCATCTGTTGAAGTTTTCTGTCCCACTCCAAATTCGAGATGGGTTCCAGAATAATGCAAAAAAGCATATTCTGTTAAGCTGTGCTCTATAATGCCTTTAGGCCGGTGTCAGACATTCCGACCGACTTGCAGATCGTTCTGCTGTTTGGGTGTTTGGTAGATTCTACCGGTCATGCGATTGTGCTGTCGCGCGATCGCAAGATCGTATGATCGATACGTATCTGCTCCACGAAAGTCGCAGAGTCGCAAGATCGCGAACTATGACCGCGGCCTTACGAACGGCATTTACTGTTAGTTGAACAGGATCAAAACGAGATATTATTGTGCGTCATTTACAGTTTAAACTTCATTCCATTCATCCAAAAAAAGCGACCGAATACCCACGTGAGCCTAACAGACCGTAGCCATGACACAGTTTCTAGTGCGCCTTTTGTTTTGTGAGGTTTCCTATTCAGGTATGTCTTCCGTAATTCGAAGAAGCAGTACAGCGGAATTCCTGTAATCGCTTCAAATATGGATACGGTTGGCACATTTGAGATGGCAAAAGCGCTCTGCCCACATAAAGTATTCACAACTATCCATAAACATTACA